TATCTTTCCTTAGAACTTGTCCCCAGTTCTCCAATTGGGTATAACTGGGAGGAGAGGTAAAGAAGTTAGCGCAATTCATCATTACTTTAAATAACCAGCTCCACTATCTCAATGCTAACACTTTCCAGTTTAGTGCAGGGATTGGCACAAGTTAAAATGTGACTTAATCTTTTGGTTGAATTGCTTCTGTGGAAAGGGCAGGACTTTCAGGAATTCAACTTATTCACTAATTAGCATTTTTAAACTATGGGATAAATACTGAAAAAGAATTAGACTACATTTATCACCTCTTATTGTGATATTTATTTATGAAGGAGAGTGTCCAGAAAAAAATTACCAGTAGAGGGGTAGTCATTCATATCAAATATAAGAATTATTAATAAAATAATGAAGACCTTCGAGATACTTTAAATATAGTAGTCAGTGTATCACACTGGTTTCCAAATCTACAAATAAGCAATATAGTCCTAAAGGAATAACAAAAAACAAGGAGATTTGACTGAATTTGTTGACCAAGATGCAGATCATTTATTGGAATGCACCTATACATTGTAATACAGTTCAGAAAATGAACACGTTATGGATTATAAGATCAAATGGATATAGAATTTAAACAAAATAATTGGTATGCAACAATGGAACATTAATGGAATCTACAAAGGTGTTCATACCATATCCAAAGTTTGATTTTCTCTTAACATAAGACTAAAACATTTTTTTTCTTTTTCTTTCTTCTGATGTGCTAAATTCATGTTTTTTAGATTAGATAAAACTTAATGTTTTCTTTTCTCATTTTATAATTTATAAACTGAACCTTGTTGGTTACAACTGCAGGTTAATTGAACAATAATCTGATTTTAATAGTAATTTATGTTACTTATTTCAGTGTTCATATAAAATATATCTATATATCAGTGTCAGTTGGAAAACTTTTCTTATAAATTTTAGAATGCTTGTAAACCTCTTTATTTACAACTTGTTTTCCTATTTTTTCTTACTTTTTCCTATTATTTAATATTATTTCCTTCATTTAATAAATATTAATTGGAAAACAATAAATCAATAACAGAAAAAAGATACATCTGGAGAATATATATTGCTTTATAAGATGAAAAGCATGACAAAATAACTTTATGTTAATATTTAGCTGATGTGTAGAAATCTTGTAGATATTTTAATGTAGAAGTTATCAAAAAAATGGAAAACTCATGAAGTTTTTGGGTTTAAGAAATTGACCAGTATCTTTATTTGATTTTGAGATCTTTGAATGCCTATAGCATGCCGCTTTGTATAAATGAGAAACAAAAGAGATTTTGCTAGCTTGAAGCCTTTCATTCATCAGTGACAATTAACCGATCTATTTGAAAAATGATAATTACAGAAACCCATGACATTAATCAATGTTGGATAAATATTTTATTTTGCAGCTGCATGGCCAGTTATTAGGTACAGATTTGGCAAAGTCAAAAAGTAATACTACAATAGAAAAGTTGATTACGTATGAATGGCTTACACAATTGTTATAGAACTGCATTTTGCTGAAATCTTATTATCTATTCAGCCTACTCCTATTGAGAGTTATGGAGAGTCACAGCATTGACAGTTGCAGCACTTCCCCGTTTAAGCTTCTCCCCTAGGCTTACATGGGGATTTAGGCTTCAGGTTTTCATTTATTATTTATTTTTTTGGATTTCTGCTCAGCCTTTTATTCAGGAACTCCAGGTAGCAAAAAAATGTTCCTCTCACGTTCCCCTAGAACCACCTTGTGAAGTAGGCTAGACTGACGGAGAATGACTGCCCCAAATAGACTTGGTGAGCTGTGGTGGTCAACTAGAGCTGGTGTCTCCCCAGGGCCAAGAGCAAATACTGTTATCCATGGCTTAAGTACAGTACTGTAGCATGTAGCATGTTTTGAAAAATGTTGATGAATTATTTAGACAAGTATCAGTGATATGTCAATAGGTTATGACTGTATTACTAACTTCTTCTGGCTACAATTTTTACTTCTTTACCTGGAAGGAAGCTTTGTTCAGTTGAATGAGGCCTGTTTGTGCCCAAGCATGCAGTGTTGATGTGTTAATGAATTGTCTGCATTAGTTTCTGAATCCAGAAAAGCCTTCCAGGATGTCTTAAAATGTAAAACGGGGCATTCCTAAATGTTTCAGTTCAAAAGTAAGTACCAGACAGTTCAGAGGGTCTTATTTTCAGAGAAGTGCATGTGGCATGGTAACCTTAAAAACTTAAAAACATCCCAGTAGGACAGAAATGGAAAAAAACAGAGAAGGTTGTGGAAATCACATTGGAGAAGCCCAGTCTGGGTTCCCTTCTTTGCATATTGAAGATGCTTTCAAAGCTGAGCTTTAATTATGGGAATTATACTTCTATCCGGAAAGGCAGCCACTCCAGTAGCCTACTACAGCATTGGGCCCAGAAGCAGACTGGCAGCCAGAGCCACTGAACCACAAGCCATAGTGAATCACAAAGAGAGAAAGCAAACACTGCATCTCACACTGGTGACAGTTTCCCTTTTTGTTGCCCCCCCCCACCCCCAACCATGGATCCTGCAGAAGGGGGATGAAGGCCTGGGTCATTCCAGCCAGTTTAGATTTCTCCTTGTGGCTTTGAAGGTGGTGGTGCAAAGGTGGCTTGTCTTGGGAAAGGTTCACTTTGAAAAGTGCCACAAAGGGGGGGGGGGAATGGGGAGGGAAAATGTGGTTCCAATCCGCATTTGTTCACCTAGCAGAAATGAGGGGGTTTTTTTATTTTTTGTTTACTAGATGTTCAGAGGTGCACAAGGATTTATTCTGGGGGCCATGTTATCCTTGCCTTATTTAATTTTAAATAAGAAAGTTCAGCATCATGGCAATGTAAAAAAATATTCCTGTTTCTTAAGCATAATATGAGCAAGAAGGAGCTAGCTCCCAGTGATGAGTGACTGAACCCTTAAATTCAGACTGATTGTACAAAGGTACAAGCACTGGAATCTTAGGTTTATGGAGCCTTTTCAGTAAAAATATCTTACTTACTGTGTTGATGGTTTATATTTATTATTAGATTTATATCCCATCTTTCCACCAGGAGCTCATAGGAAGCACCACATAGCAATCCAGTTTTTCCTCCCTAACAATCCTTTGAGGCAGGTTAATCTCCTTGCATTGAAGATACGAAGGGGACAAATGAATGAAAGTTTTTATTGACAAAGAAACACAATGTCATCTTAAAAACAACATCCAGGTCTGCCTAGGCCAGGGGTAGGCAACCTTGGCTCTTTTATGACTCGTGGACTTCAACTCTCAAAATTCCTGAGCCAGTGAAGTCCACGAGTCATAAAAGAGCCAAGGTTGCCTACCCCTGGCCTAGGCTGTAGGTTTGCCACATTCTCCTTATTGATTTACTGACACCTGTTTGGTGCCAGCTTACTCCTCCCACGTAAAAAGGATTTAAGTATAAAAGTTAAATACGGCTAATCAGGGTTTTAAGTGCCTTTTCTCGGTAGCATTGAAATTTTAATTAAAGCGCCTCCCACAAGCTCCTTCTTTCCCAGCTACAGGAGAGACAATTGAGTAGGGAGTTGCTTGGCTAGCAATTCAGAAAAAAATCACACTGAAGTGGGGATACAAACTAGTGAGTTGGCCAGTAGATCCACCCTGAGTAATAGAGATATAATGTCTTTTTTTTTTTTTTAAAGATGCGTTGTGTACTTTTCTATGGCCAATGCCCATAAATGATGGGTGGAGCTTCGATCACATCGTGTCTGCCATTTTTTATTTTTTGGACACGTCTCCCTTTTCTAGGGATAGCCAGCCTGTTGGTCTTTTATTTCGGAGGGAAAGAAATAAAACTTATAAAAAATCGCCATCCTCCTTCTTCACGGCTAGGAAAATGGAGCAGCTATCGCGATTAACGCCGGGCAGGGCTGGAGAGCCACAGTGTCCCAAAGGCCGCTTTTCTCCTCTCCTCCCTCGGCTCTGAGGGATCAGTTTCAGCGCGGCCTAGCTGCCTCCCCCCTTGCTCTTCCCGGCCCTCCGGTCTCCCCGCGTGGGAACGGCTCGCGAACGGCGCGGCTCCCTTCGGCTCAGGCGCTGCTCCGCGTGGGAGGCCGCGGGAAATCCGATCTCTCTCCGGGCAAGCCGGAGCGCCGCCAAAGGCCTAGCGGGAAGTGTCAGGTGTCCCCCGAGGCGGCGGGATCGCGCTGCTTAACTGCCGCTTCTGGCCGCCGTTCCCGACTCCTTCCCTCGGATTAAGGCGGAGAGGAAATCGCGCGCCGAGCCCCTTAATTACGAGATCAAGGGGCCCGTGAGAGCGTCCCGGCCGCCGCCTCCAGCGGGCTCGGCTCGGCTCGGCTCGCGGCGAAGTCAAAACAAGCCAGCTCGCAGGAACCGCCGGGATGGGGATTTCGGGGGCCGGGGGGGCGCGGAGGGGAGGCCGGTGGAGGCTCTGATCCGCGCCCAAGTCGCAGGCCAGGGGGTCGACAGCCTGAAACAATGGAGAGCCGCGGCTCGGAAGTCGGGTTTAAGTGGTTTAGCGGGGATTAGGACTTCAAATTGGAGACGGGGCTGCCGCTTCCCTGCCAGAGTCACCCCCGGCTTTTAAGAGATTACGCCGGGATTTGACGGCAGCTCCAGCGGCAGATTCTGAACCCGGGAAAGAGCGGCGGGGGAGGGCGGGGGGGGGGGGGAGAGGCCGGAGGCAGATCTGGTCCGGCCGTCACATCATCAGGATCGGGTTCTTAGTTTTAATGCATCCTTATTAAGCATGTTCGGAGCAGCGAAAAAGCGTCCCCGGATACACCCAGAAGGCTTTGAAATGAATGGACTCCGGGGGAATTCTCTTCCCTGCGCTTTCCCGACTGTCTTGGCTAGACCGTCTGGCAACGTGCAGGGAGGGACGGGAAAGCCGGTTGGGGACGGCGGGGCTGGGCGGGTGTTGCAGGCTCGTCCCGATGAAGCCGCCGAGGGTGGCCTTGACCTGATCCTTCTCTGTCGCTTTGTTTCCCGCAGCTCCTGGATCTCTTCATGGTGTGGGACTGGTCGACTTACCTGGCCGATTACGGGCAGCCCGGCTCCAAGTACCTGCGCGTCAACCCCAGCACAGCTTTGGCCCTCTTGGAGAAGTAAGTGGCCGCGGAGAACGCCGGGTTTGAACGGAAAAGCCGCGGCTGCGCCGGAGGAGACGCCACCCTCCGGTTCCGTTTGTCCTTTCTGCTTCCTAGTCGCCAAACGTCCCGCTTAAAAACGACTAAGATAAGCACCCCCAAGAAGAGCCAGCCAGAAGCCTAGAACTGCGGGGTCTGCACCTTCGGGCCGAGCGGTGGCCGAGCACCTGATTGGGAAGGTTTGCGGGTGGAGCGCCTCTTCTCCTGAATCTGCCCGAACAGCAAACAAGAAAACACCCTTCTCCCCCCCCCCAACCCCGGTCTTTGAAATAGGGCCCGCTGGGGTCTTCAGAGCTGAGCGTCCGAAGAGCGCGCTTCCCTTGGCTTAGCGTTCGGGCTTTCTCGGACGCCTTTCCGCGGCGCTTTTGCTCTTCAGCTGATCTCCTCTTATCTCTGATATCCAGTATTCCTTTCGGTTTCTCTCTCTCTCCCCCCCCCCGCCGCCGCCCTTTGGATCAATCAGCAAATCAATCGGTAGTTGTGTTTCGAAGTCCGTTGGATCCGGACTCGGCAAATTGTTGACCTTCTGGTTAAAACAAGCCGGGCTCCCAGACCTGGCTAAGGTGGCCGGTGGCCTGGCTATTCCTCAAATTGTCGGGTTAGTTTTTTTAACTTTAAAAATTAAAGGGAGCTCGAGAGAATAAAGATCAGTTGGCTGGGTAAACCTGAATAATAAACGTGGGGGTGGTGATGTCTGATTTGTGGCTGCGATGTTCTCTCCCAGCTTTCCCGGGTATTTCTACAGGTATTTCTCTGTTTGCTAACTCGTTTGCGCTCTTTCTCTCCCTTCCCGCCTCCCCTTCCTGCTTGCACCGCCGGGACGTTTGGCAGAGTCCACCGAGGGTAAGCATTGTTTCGATTTGGAATCAGTTCCCCAGGATTCACTTCAAAACTGTTGGGAAGCTTTGTGGAAAGAGCCAAACTTTGGATGGTTCTTTGTAAGGGAGCCAGGCGGGGGTCCAGCTCCTTAAAGTGACCTTGCCCTGCGCTTCGGCTTTTTTTTTTTTTTTTTTTTTGCTGGGGGCTGCATGCGGGTTTCTTGGAACTGCAGTCTCCCTCGTCAGCATTGTAAACGTCTGAGTTTCGGACAGAAATAGTTGCTCTATTGAACTGACCCCATTCAGGGCATTTCCAAATCTCATAGGCCCAATTGGGGCGATCTCCAAGTCCTAATTATTTCCCCCAAGAAACAGAAGGGCTCAAGCCTTCCGAGATAGTGGGGACCTGTTGACCCCCGCCTCCAAAAAAACACCCACCCACCCCGCCCAACTGTCTTTCCGGGACTTCGGTCTTATAAGAAACTGAGGAGAGAACTGGCTTACCTTTGCGGGCCTGTCCTTCAACCCCCCCCCCAAAGCGCTTCCTGGAAGCCGCTTCTGGGCTCCCAGGCTTTCTGGCGGAGGCTGGAAGGAAACCCCAGGGTGAGTTCGTGGATTGGGCGCCGTGCGGGGTTCTCCAAGAGCTCCCTGACCTTCCATTTTCTCGGCTTCCCTTTCAGGATGAAAGATGTGAACAAAAAGAACCACCTTTTTGCCCAGTTCCGGAAGAACGACCGCGACAAGCAGAAGCTGATCGAGACGGTGGTGCGGCAGCTCCGGGGATTGGCCAACTGCATCGCCCAGCACCCGTGAAAGCGGCCCCGCCCCACCTCACCCCACCCCACCCGCCGCCGAGCCGGGCTCCCGAGAAGCTGGTTCCGGTGAAAGGGCCGCTGATTTGACGGAGAACGAGAAGGAGGCCCTGGAAGGGACCGGCCGAAGGGAAGGGCTCCTTCCCCTGCCTTGCACCCCTTGAAAAGGAGGCCAAGCCTTGCCAAGGGGAAGCGGGCCTCTGCCTGTATTGGCTGCCCCTGCCGTACTCGGTTGTAAATACGATTTTAGGAGAAGACCTCAAGGTCCTCCCCGGCGTCCCCGAAAGGCCATTTAGTGTCTTCTGCTCCAAGATCCCATTTTCCAAACAGCGATTTTTCTCGACTCGGACGTTTCCTACTTGCCCCTCTGCTTCCCTGCCTCCGCATTATATTTGTTTGTTGTAAGCCTTAAGTAACCCTGACATCAGAATTTCTCCCTTTTTTCAGGTGGGGGAGCCCAAAAGTTCGGGGAGCCATTTTGTAGTACCCTTTAAACTACCTAACTGGAACTCGGTCCCGATGGTGTCCGAGCGACTTGACTCTGGATAGCAGCCTCCCGCCCTTCCATTTTTCTCCGGGGATCGGCCAGCGTTGGGTGTGGGGCACTGGGGGAGGGAGGTTTCCTGGGTCTAGGTGCCCCCCCCTTCTGCCAGGGAGCGGCCTTGCCGGGAAGACAAGCGAATGTATCCTAAAGGGAATGCCCCATAACTATGGGACTTGTAGAGAATGTCCACTTTCTTCCCATTCCTCGCCGCTGATTAAATTATTTGACGGTCCTGCTGAACTCGCTCGTGTAAACCTAGAACTTCCTTTAGCTGGATGTCGCTGGATGCGCCGTTCACATGCTACAGGCAAAGGAACCTGGGCGTGTTTTCCTCGAGCGGATTATCCGCCTTCTACAGTTCCCTCGGTGTTGCGCGGCTGGCGGCTCTTTCCAGAACCGCGAAGATCCGATTGAGCCGACGCTTTCAAAGAGAAGCCAGAGCATCTTTCCTCTGCAGCAAAGATGCGAGCTGCCTTCGATAGGTTTTCCTCGGGATTTAGGGACGGGAGGGAGCAACTGTCCAGCGGGTCAGTACGCTCCAAACAGGGGAACTGAGGCTTCGGGCACTCCGGTGGAGGCCAATGGCGCAGAGGTCCAACCGCCCGACGGCATTCTGGGGTCTTCCGAGGGATCCAGAGGCCTCCTCCCCTTCCGGGAAGCGGCAATTTTCGTGTGTAAAGAGGAGAGATTTAAGCAGTGGTGGGATTCAAATATGCGAACAACCGGTTCTCTGTGTGGATGCCGCTTCCAGAAGTCCATTCTGGGCCTGAGCAACAAAAAAATAGCTATTAGTTCTACTGAACTGGTGCGAACTGGCTGAATCCCACCACTGGATTTAGGGGTCCCCTGTCTGGTGCCAATTGGGATTTGCTGAGGGGAGGGGGTCGGGTCAGGTCAGCAACTTTCCCATTCATCCCAAAGATGATTATATACCCGGTTCAAGTTGATGGGTATTGCTGCCTATTGTCTCCGGTTGACTTGGGGCGGGGAAGCAGTTGCGAACTTGGCTTCCCGAGAAGCCTTTACGCTTCCGAGTGGCGCAAGTTCTTGGCCCAAAGCCGCTCCGAACCGACTTGCTGGCAGGTGGACTGAGGACTTTACGCCCCGGAGATACGCCAAGCCAGCCTGTGGCCTCCAGGGTGAAGAGCGACAGAAGCGAGCTTTTGCGATTAAGTCCCCCGGCCCTTCTCTCTGACCCAAGCAGCCCCCCCCCCCGTGCCAGAGCGCCCAAGGACTGGGCCCCAGCTCCAGAGTGGAAGCTCTGAGGCGCAGAGACCTTCCCGCGGGGGGGGGGCATGTACCAGTTGCAATCGGCGCCCTGTAAGTCCCCCGGTTGGCCGGTACGAAGCGAATTCAAGCCGACCCGAGACTTCAGATCCCCTCCGCCTTACTTGCGGGTAACCGGGAGGAACGCGGAAAGTCGGATTCCTGAAAGGAATCTTATCTCCGAAAAGAAACTGTTAGGCTGCCACGGGGCACCGGTGTGACTCTAGTCGGATGATACTAGACTGCGCGAGAAACCAGTAGCTATGAAGCGGTGTCGAAGTCTTGGTCTTGATGAGAGCAACTTGGTTCGCGTGGCGCAGGCGACTGCTGGCCTAGGAGAGATTGAGGGAAGAAGCTCCCTTTGTCATTCCAATCTGCACCGTCAAAATACTTGGGTTCACACAGCGCGTTGAGAGTCAAAGCTAAACAAACCGCTTGGCCATCCGTCAAATCGTGCGGCTCAACGAAAAGAGATGCTCAAGCAAACTACCGTTTACTAGCGGGATGCGAGAATCCAGTCCGTTTCTGCAAACTAAACCTCCCATTCGCCAGATTTCCTGTCTTGGCTTGTTTGACCGGCTAAAATCTTGGGGCATTTCGTAACTAGTGATTTATAACCTCTTCTACCTTGCCAGCACGGTGGAGTTGTAAAGCTAATATTGAGATCGTTATTTTGTTGGGTGGGCGACACCCTAAATGGCTGTAAATCACTCGCTGTGAGGAATGTGCCTTGATCTTTATTAATTCTGAGAATATCTCCCTTTGTAGCCTTCGCGGCTACAAAGTGTACCCAGGATACAAGACTGGAATGGAGTATCCTGAAAGCTGACATGGCTGACACGAATCCTAAGTTCTACCTTGCAACATTGTCTTTAACTGGAAAACGGGCGACGCTTAGTCGGCTCCTTTTCCCAATCTCCTTTTTTTGAGCCGACTGGTGGGAACTGCACTCCAACATCTCTGAGCTGATACACTGGCTTTGGCGAGGCGTCTCCCTTAACACTTTCCTCCAAATTTAGCTGAAAGTCAGGCCCCCGAAACAAATCGGTGGAGCTCAGCTCCCAATAAAGGATGCGGAGGTTCTTTTTTAGTCTTGCCCCCTTGGTGCTGGGATGGACGCCCTCCCGAGTGGGCTGCAAATTTAAGCCCGTTCCACCTTGCATTTTCTTTCCCTGAAGATTAACATTTACATTTTAATGGGTGTTGGGCTTCATTCCCCGTAATTCTGGCTAGCAGTGACGGAAGAGCGAATGTGGAGCTTTGGGAGACCCCCACGACGGCTCAGTTTGAGGAATCGGAACAGCCTCTAGGACAATAGACAACCGAAGCGCTTGAGCCTCCAGCGGGCCACCTGTGGGGGTGCAGGAGAGGTCGTTCGCCTCCGTGGCTAGAAATTGCCCTTGACTCGGAATCGCAGGAGGGAGACGCTGCCGCGGCTTACCTGGGTGATGCTCCCCGGCTTGCCCAGAAGACGAGATTTCCTGCCCCCCGCTCGCCCCCCCTATTCCCCACTCCACTCGTCGCGGACCCTCCCGGGCGCCAATCGCAGCCGTTTCGGGCCCCGCTTTGAATATCAAGCGGCGACGTCATCCCTGAAGGTGGGTCGGCGGCGCTCTATAAAGGCCCAAGCAAAGAACAAGAATTAAAACATCGAGGGGAGCAAAGGGAGGTTGCGCGGGACCCCGCCAAGCCTCGCTCGGCCATGGGTAGGGCAAGCCGGGCTACTCATTGACAGCTGGCTCGGGAAATGAAGGCGGGAGGGAGAGGAGTTCGAGAAGGTGGCAACAGCTCCGGAGCCCCAGGCTAGCTCCACGCTGCCCCTTCTGCAGGGCCGAACCGGCTTCCGACGACGTGTCCCGGGAGAACAGGCGCTGGAAGCTCGCTCATAGGAAGCCGGGGGTGGGGGGGGGAGGGAAAGGGAACCGAAGGCTGCCGGCAGCCCTCTCCAAACTAAGTCGAATCCAAGTCGGGAGAGGAAGGAGCCGGGATTCCGGGCAGCGCCCTCGGACACGCACGCAGCCTCCCCTTCCAGGCGAAGGAAAGGAAGGGGGGAAGGGGGCCCCTCCCGCCTTTCTCCCCCACCTCCAGCTGAGTCCTTCTCTCTTCTCCCGGCAGCCAAAGCCGGCCAGGAGGCGCAGCCGTCGGGGGGTTCCGGGGACGCTCTGGCTTGGCTAGAAGTCGCGCTGGCCGCCGCCGCCGCCGCGGGACTCCTGCTGGCCGCGGCCCGCCACCTCTGGGCCCTGCGCTGGAGCCTGAGCCGAGACCGCGCCAGCGCCCTGCCGCTGCCCAGGGGCTCCATGGGGTGGCCCTTCTTTGGAGAGACGCTGCACTGGCTGATCCAGGTGAGCACCCGAGACGGGGCGGCCCAGCACGATCGCTGCCTTTGGGGCCCTCAAGGCGGGTCCGCCCACCCCAGGGTTACCCTCCCATCAGTCCCTCGGGGTAGGTCAGGAAGAGGGCTTGGCTTAAAGTCTTCCCGCCAGTTCTGGGCTTGAACCCGGGGTTTCCTAGCCGTTAAGGCCCGGAAACGCTGCCTTGCGTTTGGAAACTTTGTTGCTGGTTGAAGGCGAGGCTCTCTGCACTTGCTTAAGGCCATCCTCCATTTTAAAATCTCCACAAGGCGTTCGCTCCCTGTTTCCGCCTGTTGGGAAAACAGCCCCAGTTTCCACCCACTTCAAAGAGAGTTATTCCCCAAATTGGGGCGAGGAGGAGAAGGTGGCTCTCGGGCCCGGCTCCTCCCTCCTTTGGGTTTGATCCCCAGCATTTGAAAACCGATCGGCCGGGGGCGAAGCCCGTCGCCACTTCACGCTCCCAGTAATGTGGGCGGACAAAGAGGGCTTAAAGCCGCCCCAAATGAAACTTGCGCTCCCGTCGATCTCGCTCATTCTGGGATCAAAGCTGACCTCCGGACTAGCTAAGCCCGGCAGGAGCTGAACATCTGGGCCATTTGGGCGCCAAGAGAAAGGTGCTCTGCGCTTGCGCAGAAATACCCAGGACTTGTCGACTTTTAGCAGGGCAAAAAGGCAGCGGCGATTTGCCAGTAGCGCCCGACTCTCTCTCTCTCTCTCTCTCTCTCTCTCTCTTTCTCTTTCTCTCTCTCCCTCTCTCCCTCCCTCCCTCCCTGTCTCTCTTTCTCTTCCCCCCGTTTCTCTCCCTGTCTCTTTCTTTTCCCCTCTCCCTCCCTCTTTGTCTCTCTCTCTTTCCTCTCTTTCTCTTTCCCTTCTCTCTCCCTCCCTCCCTCTCTCTCTCTCTCTATCTCTCTCTCTCTCCCCGTTTCCCTCCCTCTCTCTTTCTCTTCCCCTCTCCCTCCCTCTTTTTCTCTTTCTCTTTCCTTTCGTTCTCTTTCTCTTCTCTCTCCCTCCCTCTGTCTCTTTCTCCTTCCCTCTCTCTTTCCCTTCCTCTGCTTTTCCCTCTTCTCCCTTTCTCCTTCTCCCTCCCTCCCTCCCTCCCTCTCTCTCCCCCTCCCCCGACCGAGCAGGGCTCCCACTTTCACAGTTCCCGGCGGCAGCGCTACGGCGCCGTGTTCAAGACGCACCTGCTGGGCAAGCCGGTGGTGCGCGTGAGCGGCGCCGAGAACGTGCGCAAGATCCTGCTGGGCGAGCACAGCCTGGTCAGCGCCCAGTGGCCGCTCAGCACCCAGATCCTGCTGGGCTCGCACACGCTGCTCAACGCCCGCGCCGACACGCACCGGCAGAGGAGGAAGGTAAGGAAGGCGGGGCGGGCAAGCGGGGCCGGGGCGGCAGGCAGCGCCGCCCCTCTTTCCCGGGCGGGCCTCACCCCAGCGGCTGCTCTTGTGGTGGACCGCAGGGCCTTCGGGAGGCCGGGCGTGAGGGGCTACGCTCACCGTTATCTGGAGAGCGACACCTGGGGAGTTTCCCCCTCTCCAGCTTCGGCTAAGCTGAGGCTGGGGCGCCGCAGGGCTCGTGGGCTGCTCCACGCTGAGTTGAAGCGCGGGGGATCTCCCAGCCCCGGCTCCGCTAAGCCCGGTCGGGGAGAGGCTCCAGGCGCCCCTTGCTGCGCGGCTTCCTCTTCCCGGGCGTCCCGAGGACAGGCCGAGGAAACCCGCCCTCGCGCCCGCTGGCCCGCCCCGCCTCTCGCGCTCTGCCTCTCCCTTCGCGCGCAGATCCTGGCCCGCGTCTTCAGCCGCGCCGCCCTGGAGGTCTACCTGCCCCGAATCCAGCGCCTGGTGAGCTGGGAACTGCGCGGCTGGTGCCGCCGCCCGGGGCCCATCGCCGTCTACGCCTCGGCCAAGGCGCTGACTTTCCGCATCGCTGCGCGGATCCTGCTGGGGCTCCGGCTGGAGGAGGAGCAGTTCGAGGAGCTTTCCGGGGCCTTCGAGCAATTGGTGGAGAACCTCTTTTGCCTGCCGCTCAACGTCCCCTTCAGCGGACTGAGGAAGGTACCAGCTGGCAGAGGCAGGGCTGGGAAGATGGCCCCCCGCCCCCCCCCCGCCGCCGCCGCCGCCTTTTCCTCCATGGCTCTGGAGTTCTGCTTCCACCGGAGTCGGCGGGGGACGGGGGGGGGGGCTTAGTGAAAGTGAAAAAAGCCCTTTGCACTTGTGTCCCTTGCTCCACCCTTGTTCCTTTTAGGTTCCTTTAAATTTGCTTGAATAGGGATAGATTTGTGGCACTGGTGAGATGCCAGCATGCAGCTTGCAAAAGGACCCAGAGTCTTCCAAATGGAAAATAGTGTTAGCTCTTGCCTTTCCCTGTGAAAGAGAAAATAGAGGGGGACCTGAAAATGGCATTCTCCAAACCCACAAAGCCTCATCTTCAACACAGCCTTTCCAAATCTCCAGCTGAAGTTGGACTAATGAGAACTATGGTCAAGCTGCAACGTGGGAGATGGTAGAGTGGTGGAAAGCTAGAATAGTGCCTTAAGTTTATTCTGAGCAACAGTGGTGTGTCCGAACCAGTTTTGGTCTAGATTCAAAAATACCATTCCTGTATTTCCCTCCCCACACACACATGATAAATCTTTCTGCCCACATATTTAATATCTCCTTTCACTATTTGTGCCTTGAGAGACTTGCATTCCCAACCTTCAGGCTTTTGAAATACAACTTCTGTCCAGGCTGCCAGCAAGTTAAGAGAAGAAAACAGACCTTACAGTTGTTGCAAAGTCAATCAAATGTTCAGACTGGATTTGATATTTTTATCCACCTGTTTTGTCCTTCCCAAGGACCTGGAGTAGGCAGATGTAGTTTGATAGTATTAAAGGTATTATTGCAGGATATAAGCTGTTCTAGGTGATGCTGCCTTTTGCAACTGACTGATGATGATTTTTGTCAATGCTGATGGTGTTCAAGTGGTAAGCAAGTAATTGGTTTGTAGCTTTCTGGTGCTGCCCCTTTTGTTAGCTCTTTCATTATCAGGAAGAGTTGCTGAACAAAAGTTGGTCTTCCTTGCCTTTTCCCTACCATTTCTGCTGTTATGGCAAGTTCTTTCATTTCAGCTTTGTTTTTATTCTTATCCACCTCCTTTATCCAAGCTGCATTCTTGTTGTATTTCTTTGGGTTGTTCCATAGCTGTGCCCAGAACTGCAACCTTTTCTTTGTCAGGTGTTGATTAGTTCATTTCAGCCACTCCATTGATGGATTGGTATAAACATTTCTAATTCCACTGAAATTGGAGATTCTGCCTATAAGCTACAATTCAAGCTTCATATTTGCTCATCCTCTTGGATATAGTGTTATTTGCTGCTTTATTCTTTCCAGTGCTTCCTTGATCTTCCTTATTTCTAGGTGACATTTCTTGATCAGGTGTTTTGGTCTTCATCTTTTCTTTCATCTGTTATAGCTTACTTGCATCTGATCTTAACATATTTATTGGTGAACTTGATCTTTCATTTTGGTACTGCACTGATTGCCTTTTTTCTTGTTTGTTGATTTTGCATGTCAGGTTTTCAGTTATAACTGCAGCTGTGCTGTGTCTTAGTTGGTTTGTCTCTTGCATTGAGCTGGTGCTTATATTTGATGTTACAGTACTGGCATCTTTTAATACTTATGCTACTAGCTGTTCCTGTAGAACAAACTTCAATGCAGGCAGCCTTACTCTGTTGTTTTTGTACTGTTCTAAATTCTTCGTTATTCTTTGCTTCAATTCTTCTTCAGAGAGCTTCGCTCTTTCTGAGGAGAGGTCAAAGTAGAGGATGCCTGGTTTGGGAATGAAAATAATTCAATAGCTATTCTGGATGTTGTCCCCCCTTGGTTTTCCTCCACAGTCTGGCTACTTTTGGCAAGGCTTTGGTTTCTTTGCCCTTGGAAAATCTTTGCAGCTCTTCCAATTCTACTTCTGTGAAAATAATATTTCACATGCTTTTCTCTGTTGTGGTTGGTCACACAGTCAGCCAGATGTTTAGACTGGATTTAGCATGCCAGTTATTGAATCCTTTCCAAGGACCTGGGATAGGAAGATGATGTTTTTTGGTGGTGTTAAAGGTATCACTGCATAATGTAAGCTGTTCCAAGGAAATTGAATTGTGCAGCTGATTGATGGTAATTTTGTCAATGCAGATGATGTTCAAGTGATGCTCCAGATGTTTTGGGATTTCACCAAAGGTCCCTATTACTGTTGGTATTATCTTTGCTTTCTTTTGCCACAACTGTTTCTCTTCTATTTGTATTTGTATTATGTGATTTTCTCCAGTTCTTTCTATTCTGCTGGGTCCAGGTGCTGCCATGCCCACTTTCCAGACTTTTTTTTATCTTTCTGATCAACAATTGTTAGGTCTGGAATGCTATGTGGCAGGTGCTTGTCTTTTTGAGTTTTAAAGTACCAGAACACTTTACCTGCTTCATTTTCTATTACTTTGTCCATTTTTTGGTCCCTTAGTTGTTGCTTGCAGGCAAATGGTATTTCTTGGAGACATTTCAATGCCCCATTGTTGCTTATAGGTACTCCTCAACTTAACAACCACAACTGAGCCCGAACTTTCTGTTCCTGCCTCAGACAGTTGCTAAGTGAGTTTTGCCTCATTTTACGACCTTTCGTGCCACAGTTGTTAAGTGAATCACTGCAGTTGTTAAGTGAATCTGGCTTCCCCACTGACTTTGCTTTTCAGAAGGTGGTCGGTCACATGACCCCAGGACACTGCAACCATCATAAATATGAGTCAGTTGCCAAGCGCCCAAATTTTGGACTATGTGACCATGGGGATGCTGCAGTGGTCATAAGAGTGAAAAACAACAAGTCACTTTTTTTTTAACAAGATTTTATTGAGTTTATATACGTAAGGAAAAAATAGGAACAATACAGGTATGGTAGAGGAAAGGGGTGGGGGGAAAGGGGAGGGAAGTAAAGGAATTAGGGTAAAATAAGGATAGGTACAATCACATATTTTAACAAACAAGCTACTGTCCGGATCATAGTGAGTAAATATCATATTTGACCATTTTTATGATAAGCTTAACTATAGCATATTAAAAACAATTAATAAACAAATACGTTCATCTATTAAATAAACACTACTAATAAAATCTCAAAAAATCCTGACAATCAACAGTAACAGGTAAAATCAGTAAATCACAAAAAATAAGTCACTTTTTTCAATGCCATTGTAACTTGGAATGGTCACTAAACAAATGGTTGTAAGTCAAGGACTACCTGTACTTTGTCATGCTATTGTTTGTAGTCAGTTTGTGCGATCTTCTTGCAACAGCCAATCGGTCCATTGTTTCTTCTTAGCAGATGCAGCACCAGCTGTCTGTTGCTGTCTTCTCAATTCTGATTTTGCATGCATTTCTTCTTAGGGCTTGGTCTTGTGCAGCCAAAATTAGCCCCCCCCCCTCTCTCTTTTTTTTCCAATTTTCTGCTCTTAACCATACCAAGTCCTGTTGTTATCTGCTTTGCCTGCTGGTACTGGCCATGTTAACACTTTGCCTTGCAATATCTCTATTCTATTCTTTATTTGGTCTTTCTTGTAATCCAGTTTGGTCTCTCCTGTACTCAGTAAACCTTCTTGAAGTGTTGTTGTTGTTGTTGTTGCATCTTTTATTTCTATTATTTCTAATGAAATGAATAAAATAATTTAATTTGAGTGGGGCTTTCTTGCAGAAACTCAAGCCTATCTATATAGTACACTGTTTTTCAATTTCCCCACTCCCTTTCTACGAATAACTTTATATAAAGTAGACTCACTAGGCTGTGTTCACAAGACCCTCTACCCAATGTGAATTTAATCATGGTTTAATCAACTAATTTGGTTTGACACAATAAAAACACAATGTGATGGGTTTGTCACAAGAGATTAGTGAGCTAATTTGTGCTCAGGGTGCCAGTAGCGATGACTAGCCCAATTCGCCCAGTAAGCTTCCATGGCTATGGATAAACCTGAAACTGTGTTTCTTAATCTTAATCCATACTTAGGTTAGCCTTCAGCGAATTATGGAAACAAAGCCACTAGCTCTCTTGATCTATCCAAGACCTAAAGAGACTAAATCTTCAGTTCTTTTGTAGCATCATTTATATTTATTTATCTCAGGAATAAATTCCTGTCGGTTCAGTAAGGTTTTATTTGTTTATTTTGTGCCTCCAAGTCAGAGTTGACTTCTGGTGACTGCCTGGTCCAGTCTAGCAGGGGTTTTTTTGGGCAAGATTTCAGAAGTGGTTTGCCATTGCCTGATTCCTAGGGCTAAGAGGGAGTGACTGGCCCGAGGTCACCCAGCTGGCTTTGTGACAAAGGTGGGACTAGAACTCAGGGTCTCATTGTTTCTTGTCTCTAACAGGGATGAGTTTTTTTCCTCACAGCCAAGGAAACCTGAAACCCCTCTAACTAGCCTGAGCTTCTACTACTTGGTGAAAGCAACATAAATAAACTCTTAGAAATTTTTAAGCAGTCCACTGCTTTCTTCCTGTAACCTCAAAGCGTTACTTTTCTGAATGAGTTTCTGAACCAGATTTCTGGGCTCTTCTTCTTTGAACCATCTTCTGTTCCTCAGGGAATAAAGGCTCGTGATCTTTTACATACTTACATGGAGAAAGCCATCTTGGAGAAACTGCAGAGGAAGGATCCTGAAGCTCACCATGATGCCTTGGATTTTATCATCAACAGCGCCAAGGAATATGGCAAAGATTTCACTATGCAGGAATTGAAGGTAAGGATTTTTATGCTCCTGGGCAGGGGTCTTCAAACATGGCCCTTTTATGACTTGTGGACTTCAGCTCCCAGAATTCCTCAGCCAGGCATGCTAAAAGTATAAAAGGTCCATAAGTATAAAAGACCCCTGCTCCTGAGGATCAGTGGTTCCATGCAGAATTTGACAGTAGCCCCTATTGGAAGATGGTTTCCTCAGATGGTGTAATTTTGCAGGATGTCTGGTTGGAAATACTTTTATGGAATGGCTAATGCCTGGCCTCCTAATGTTTACTGATACTAGAGATTCTGTGCTCAGTTGTCCCAGGATACCATGGCTTCATAGAGCACAAAGAAGATTTGTCAGCAGTCACTCAGAAGTTGGTTTAGCAATATATATATAAAGCACCTGATTGGGGGTTTAGATCATACAAGTAGCCCTCACTTTCTGACTGCAATGTGACTGTGACTTGTGACTTCCTGCTGGCTTCCCCATTGACTTATGGGAAACTGGCTGTGAAGATTGCAAATGGCAATCACATGACCGCAGGTTGCTGCAACCATCATAAATGCACACCAATTGCCATGCCACCAAATTTCTATCACATGACTGTGGTGATACTACAACAGCTGCAATTGTAAGGACCGGTCATAAATCTATTTCACCATTGTTATAACTTTGAATGGTCGCTGAATAAGTGCTCAGTAAGTGAAAACTACCTGTTTATCTATTTTGTTTTCATCTCCATTCTATTAGCATTAATAGCAATAACAGGGATCCAATAGCAGAAGGTCAGATTGATTTTGTGCAGTTCAATTCAGTGCATATTTTCTAAACTATTTTAACCTCACTGAACGATGTTTCCCTGAGGAATAAGGGTTTTTAATGGCTATTTAAATAAACGTGGAAATGGTATAAGTCTGTAAAGCTTTGATTTTGAGATTTCATTAAATCTCCTAATTGAATTCAGTTTCTGAACCAAATTGGAAAGTCAAATCAAATTGTCCAATTGAATGCCTTTGAACTGACTCAATGTGACAAAAATAAAATTAGGTAAATGGTATGAAATGAATTGGGTTGGAGCCAGACCATACTCTCTTAATAGGTTACATCCAGATTAGACTATATTGTCATGCGCTCCACCTGGAAATGGTCCTGAGATAATTCAGTACTGCATACAATGTGGAAAGAAAATTCCAGGGACTTTTGCTCTTAGGGTTTCTATTCTTCGCACTCATACTGGCAACTTATCTCTGACCCTAATTGAAGGTGTTCCTATCACAGGTTGATGCCGAAATGCAAGCCAATCAATATGGTTCTTTCCAAATATCTTGAACTTCATCTACACACCCAGACACATAACACAACGAAAATCTTCTCTTGTTCTTGTTTTTCTCCTCTTCTGTGTCCATTCTTACATATTTTAAAGGAAGGGAAAGAAAGAGAAAGGGGGAGAGAGGAAAAGTGGGGGAGCAGTCAGAAATTAGATTGTCCTGCCTCAGACCATAAACATAGATATAGAAATGCAAATACAAAGGCATGTGTGTACATGTGTGTGTGTGTATGTATATATGTGTATTTCCAAAATTTGAATTGCTAACAAAGAATTAAGGGAGTACTGGGATAGCTATTTCAAACCTTATTTGGTTTTCATCAGCCAGACATACCCTTCTGAGATTCGAACCTGGGCTGTCTGCATGTTAAGCAGAGGTGTTAGCCACTATGCCACAGGCTCTTTCTCACTTTGTTAGCTACAAGAGACAGGGGAAGAGAATGAATGCCTTTTTTTTCTTTTAGAGCACCCTGTTGGTCCAAATATGGCTGATGAAAACCAAATAAGGTTTGAAATAGCTATCCCAGTATTCCCTTAATTTTTTGTTAGCAATTCAAATTTTGGAAAACATATGATGTCGCAGTTAAGCGACTGCTGCCTGTGGATGGCTCTAGGTTGAGCTGATACAGGCAAAAGACTTCTCTTTCCCATATTTGGGCCGACAGGGTGCTCTAAAAGAAAAAAAGGCATTCATATATGTGTATGTATACAGACACACACACACACAAATGTAGAAAAAAGTTAAGGAAATGATTGGTCCATTAGTGGGGGAAAGTGGCAAGAAGGTGACAAGCAACAGGGAGAAAGCAGAACTATTTAACTCGTTTTTTGCATCTGTCTTTACACAAAGGGAAAAAACAGACCAACCTATCAAAAACAGTGCCATAAAAAATAGATTAGAAACACAAGTTAAGATAGGCAAGAAAATGGTAAGTGAGCACCTGTCCAGCCTAGACGAGTTCAGGTCACCTGGACCAGATGGATTACATCCCAGGGTTCTCAAGGAACTGGCAGATGTGATCTCAGAACCACTGAACTATATTTTTCAAAGATCCTGGAGCACTGGGGAACTACCAGAGGACTGGAAGAGAGCTGATGTAGTTTCCATCTTCAAAAAAGGGGGGGAAATAGATCCAGGAAACTATAGACCTATCAGCCTGACCTCAATACCTGGGAAGATTCTGGAAAAGATAATTAAACAACGAATCAGTGAACACCTAGAGGCAAACAAAGTCATTACTAAAAGCCAACATGGGTTTGTCAAAAACAGATCATGCCAGACAAAACTTATTGCATTCTTTGACCAAGTGACAAAATTAGTGGACCAAAGGAATGCTGTGGATATAATTTACTTGGACTTCAGTGAGGCATTTGATAAAGTAGACCATCACCTACTACTTGATAAGATAGAAAAATGGATTTGTAGCTGGCTGACCGGCCGTACTCAGCGTGTGGTCCTCAATGGAACTGCATCTACATGGAGGGAAGTCTGTAGTGGGGTGCCCCAGGGCTCTGTTCTGGGCCCAGTGCTCTTCAACATCTTCATCAACGATTTGGATGAGGGGGTAGATGGGGAACTCATCAAATTTGCAGACGACACCAAGCTGGCAGGAATAGCCAACACTCCAGAAGACAGGCTTAAGATATAGGAGAGACTTGAACACTGGGCGCTATCTAACAAAATGAAATTCAATGGTGAAAAAAGTAAGGTTCTAATTTAGGCAAGAAAAAACAAATGTACAGGTATAGAATAGGTGTTACCTTGCTCAACAGTAGTAACTGTGACGGGGATCTTGGAGTCCTAGTGGACAATCACTTAAATATGAGCCAGCAGTGTGCTGCAGCTGCCACAAAAGCCAACACAGTGCTAGGCTGCATTAACAGAGGGATAGAATCAAGATCACGTGAAGTGTTAATACCACTTTACAATGCCTTGGTAAGGCCACACTTGGAATACTGCATCCAGTTTTGGTCACCACGATGTAAAAAATATGTTGAGATTCTAGAAAGAGTACAGAGAAGAGCAACAAAGATGATTAGGAGACTGGAGGCTAAAACATATAAGGAACAATTGCTGGAATTGGGTATGTCTAGTTTAATGAAGAGAAGGACGAGGGGGGACATGATAGCAGTGTTCCAATATCTCAGGGGCTGCCACAAAGAAGAGGGAGTCAAGCTATTTTTCAAAGTGCCTGAAGGCAGGAGAAGAAGCAACAGATGGAAACTAATCAAGGAGAGAAGCAACCTAGAACTAAGGAGAAACGTCCTGACAGAACAATTAACCAGTGGAACAACCTGCCTCCAGAAGCGGTGAATGATCCAACACTGGAAGTTTTTAAGAAGAGACTGGACAGCCATTTGTCTGAAATGGTATAGGGTTTCCTGCCTGAGCAGGAAATAATAATAATAATAATAATAATAATAATAATAATAATAATAATAATAATAATAATAATAGTAGTAGTAGTAGTAGTAGTAGTAGTAGTAGTAGTAGTAGTGATAGTAATAGTAATAGTAATAGTAGTAGTTATTATTATGTCCCCTCCCCAAAGTCCAGCAAGCATTCAAGTGAAGTCCCAAGGGGCCAAGTGTTGCAGAAGGTTCATCAGCCAGTCTAGGTCCAGAATTAAAGTCATGAAGTTTCAAATCAAGACACCTGGAATCTGGTAAACAAACAGTTGTTGCCAATGGAGAGGCTGCGGTTTGCTTAAATAGAAGCAAGCCCAGTGTTGCTTATTAGGACGGGCAGGGCTCCTTTCTTACAAGGAGCCTGGAAGAGCACCTTCCGTCTTCTGCTCTGCACAGGGAGCCCTTGCAGGAGGGGGATGGTATGGGGGGGGTCTCCTCATTCTCATCTCCAGAGACTGGCAGCAATTACTGTCTTCTGCTTACTGCTCCTCTGGCAGTGGCTCACCCAGCACCTTGAATTGATTGCTCATTGTTAAGCAGGCTGTCATAGGGAAATGTTGTGAGTGTATTGTCAAGGGCTTTCAGAGCACCAACATTTCTATAAGTGTTCAACAGCAACTCCTAGAATCTTGATCTGGATTTATTAATTAGCTTTTTTCTTTTAAACATCTGAATAATATCTTTTTTAAATTCTAATCTCAATGTATCTGAAATGAAAGCCCAAGAGATATTCAATTTACTAATAACATGGATAATTTATTTATTTGTTAAATTTATTTGCCTCCTATTTATAATAATAGATAGGCCTGTCTCTAACCCTATAATAAGAGGAACCCTCTTCTAATTCATATATCACTATGGCTTGCCTTACAGGAATCTGCAATTGAACTAATATTTGCAGCTTTCTTCACCACTGCCAGTGCCACCACTTCTATGATCTTACTCTTATTGAAACACCCGTTGGTCATAAAAAAGATCCAGCAGGAACTGGCCTCCAATGGCTTTGCTGGACAGTGTCAATGCTTTGCAGCTGAGGATTTTCTAACAAAATACCCGGCGGGCCAAAAAACTTTGCCTGCACATGAGAAGGAAAACCAAGATGGTGACTCCAGATTTGGAAGAGAAGAAGGCCAAGAGACCAAGATGGAAGAGAAAGGACCTAATATAAACATCACGGCTAAAGTGTCCCAGGAGATTGTCCATGGAACTACAAATGGTCCTAGTTCATTGTCCAGCCTGGAAGACACAGGCCGGTTCTTTAGCAGTCTGGAAAGATCTGAGTATTGTTGCCACCCTTACTTGACCCTGGAGAAGTTGAATCGTCTGCGCTACCTGGATTGCGTAATTAAAGAAGTTCTCCGTTTGCTGCCCCCAGTATCTGGAGGGTATAGGACAGCCTTACAAACCTTTGAGCTAGATGTGAGTTGAGTGGCTTGCTATCTAACCTTTTGGTGGAAGTGTGAGGCACTTGGGTTGACCTGGATTTTAGAAGGTTAGGTTGAGCTTTTTATGTGGGAACTCAGGAAGAATTTATGGTTCCTAGTAATTCCAAGAACTTCTGTTTAGAGCCAGCATATATGTGAGGAATCTCTTGGCCATTTGTAGGAAGATGGACTTTTGGGGTATGAGAAAGGATGTCTCAAAGGGACTATAAGTAGGGATGGGAAACATAGAAGCTCACCAAACAAAATCCCAAGTTCAGGGTAGTGGACTCTGATAATGAGTGAGAATAGTGAAGAAGCTTGTGAAGAAAAGTCAGTCATAAAAGGGGCACAGAAAGAGTGTCCAAGCAATATTTGTGTGCCGGTATCTGATTCAGTTTCTGGCATCGCTATTTTAGGAATGGAAAGAAATACTGCTTCAAATGCTGGAGGAGCTGCTATCAGATCCTGTCAGCAGTTTGGAGTAAGATGGATCAATGACCTAATTTGATAGAATCCAGAGAACTGCATATTTTTCATAAAAAGATTGAGAATTGGAGAGAGAAGTCAAGATGAATGCTTCATTCAGATCACCAAAACAATTGTGTCCATTTGGCAGAATTTAGGAAGAATAACTGGAACAGTTTGGGGTAGTGGTTAAAGGTGCTGGGTTAGAAGCCAAGAGATAATAGCTAGTCCTACCTCAAACCTAAAGCCAGGTGGGTGACTTTGGGCCAGTCACTTTCTCTCAGCCTAGGAAGGTGGTCAGGCCAAGCCAGTTTCAAAAATGTTGCAACAAAAACTACTAGGACTTGTATATTCCCAGACTTGTACATGATCCATAAGCACAAAAAAAAGGGGGGGGGGACAATATGACTGCTAGTTACAATTGCTCTAATCGGGAATGGCACCTGGAACAGCCATGCCAAGGTAGTACATATATTATGGCCATAAATATTTCAGTGTATGATATTCACTGAGACTGTAATTTTCACTAACTGAAATACTGATATTTTCTAAACAAACAGGTTCCCATTTATTTCTAAGTTCCGTGATCTATAGCAGCAGTGTTCAGAAACACATTTAAAAAATATAAAGCACAAAATAAAATGACATCTTTAAGGAGAAGAGCTAAACTTAAGTTAAAAGAAATGTAGTGAAAAATGGTCTACTCGTGAATTTCTCTCTCTGCTGTTTAGTCATCTGAAATGGCAGCACTTTGTACCAGAAAATCCACATTAAAAATGTTTTTGTAGATTGTTAGTAATATTTTTGAAGTTAGCCCCTCTAAGCATACAGATAGTGGATGAAATAAGCCTCCTGCAGCTCCTCCAAAAGATTGGATCAAACTGTTGTGGATGTTTGCTTACTCTTTCAGGCAGGTTTCATCCCTCTGGCTGCTGTCTATGGTGCTGATTTTTTTTCCCATCTCCCCTTCCTTAAAGGGCTACCAGATTCCGAAGGGTTGGAGTGTGATGTACAGTATTCGGGATACACATGAGACTGCCGGCATCTACCAGAGTTCCCCTGATACTTTTGATCCAGAGAGGTTTTGGGTATCGCCGGAAGACCGGGAGAAGCACAAAACTTCTGCTTCCCTCCGGTTTCACTACATTCCCTTTGGTGGTGGAGTCCGAAATTGCATAGGCAAAGAACTGGCCCAGGTGATTCTCAAGATGCTTGCCATTGAATTGGTCAGCACAGCCAGCTGGGAATTGGCCACAGCTCATTTCCCCAAAATGCAGACTGTGCCAATTGTGCACCCTGTAGATGGTCTTCAACTCTATTTCCATTCTCTGAAGGCTGGCCATGAAAGCAGTGGAGCAGGCAAGGGCAACGCCTGAATGCATAGACATCTCCATTACATCTCTAGCTTAGGAGTAGACTAGGACAGGCCTCTGAGGGAAAAACACCACTTTCAGCGCAAGCCTTTTCCACCTGCCTCTTGGTTGCGGGGTAAGAGAAAAGGAGGAACTCACTGCACTCTTCCTTAAAAGCCTGTGAAATTGTTAGCATCTATTCTTTGCACAAATATGCATCAGTTGGTTTTCTGTCATCTTTAGTTGCACTTTTCATTTCGTACATGTGCATAACCACTTTGTCTTGTGGTTAAGAGTAGTCTTACCTCCAAAGGTAAATATCTTGAAAAAAGCGGTAGAGGCATTGATGTTAGTTCTACACGAGGATTAAGTATATATACCTCAAGCAAACAAAAAATGGGATACAGTGAAAATGTTGGGAATCCATGATCTAGTCTGCCCTATGAAGATTCTTCAGGACTCGTCACAGCTTCTGAACAAGACAGTGGCTCCATTGCTTCCATACAAGGTGGCTCTGCTTTGTTTTTGAAGGAAGAGAACCTACATAGCTCTGTTGCCTTCAGCATGGAAAATGTTCCAAGTAAAATTCAGAAGGCCCATCAGAAAGGCATTGACAAAGCAAAATCCAACAAAAGAAATGGAACCAAATAGATCAGAAACTGACTTTGCTTCAGGATGGCTTTTTTGTATTTAAAGATAATGAAATGTATTCATGTTCTGCATTGTAAACAAGGAGACAAGATAGCTCTGGAACAGATTTATTTTCCAGTTTCTGTTATGACTCCAATGTACAGTGTTAATGGCAGTGACCAGCAGTGGCTCTCCATGGATTCAACTTGGAGCCTTTCCTAGATGGAGACAGTTGGAACTGAACAGGAGAAATTCTGCTTGAATGGCACATGTACTATTGAACTGTGAACAGCCTGATTATGACATGAAGCCTCACCTTATTTTAATTAAGCAAGCTACCCATGTGTTGGCATACTAAGTTGTCAAGCAAACTATGGACAGAATGTCTTTAGGTCTGGTTCATAATCATATGTGCTTTTTATTCTTCTTTGGGTTTTGCAAAATGAAAAAAAAAACATTACATTTGAAGGGATATGAAGTGGTTCATTTCTGAGATTTGACCTGGGATGGCTTGCTGACATATCCAGTTTCCAAAGGGGCAGCTATATTAGCTTTTGTAGTAAGAATAAGCAAGAATGTTATAAAAAGAGTAACATGATTTCTTATAGCATGTGCGGTTATGGATTAGTTATGGATTTATTGCCACTTGGGCATATATATAATTGACAAATTAAGGTTAATTCCATGCATCTCATGATGTCTCTAGTCTGTGAGTTAAGCCAGGGTGGGGAACTTTGATTCCTCAGATGTTGTTAAGCTGTCTATGAGCCCAAACCATTAAAGCCCATGGTGAGGTATCCTGGGAATTCTAGTTTAGCAACACCTGGAAGATCACTGGTTCCCACCCTCCTGCTTACACTGTAGTAAAATGTTTAGCCTTTCAATTTGCTGCCTTGTAGCATAATGAGCAACTAGAAGTTTTGTGGGAATGATATTAAACTACCATTAATAATCATCAGTCCTCTCCAACTGCTTAGGAAAGCACTTTGTAATACCTGCAGAATGACAAATGCTGCTCTTGAGCTGGGCTAAGAATTGGCTTTAAAAAACTATGGGGAGCATTATTACAGAAGAGGTCCACACTCTGTGTGGATAATTCCTCTCTCTAATCCTATTTGTGGGAACTAATTTTTCTCTCCAAGTATTTAAGATGCTGATGTCTTGCCAAGAAGTGGGTTTTCAACCACAAGTTGCCAAGGAAAGCAACCTGTTCATAGATCCCAAAATCTAAATCAATATCTACAAAAGAACAGAGAAGATGGACATAAGAGAAACCATGTGAAGCAAAAAATTATATTCTTCTAAAGAAGCAGGTGGAAGTCAGAGACTTTAAACAAAAAATGGCCAAACCTAGCAAAGATGGTTGACAGTAGGCTAAGGTAATGCAGCATGCAAAGTTGGATTGGAGAGCTGTATCCACTTGACTTGCAACAGGATCATCTGGAGATCAGCTTTTCACTATGTGAGCTCCCCCTACTTGAAAGAATAATGTGGTGCAGCCCAAATGCAGCTTTCTAATCTAGATCAATTTCAGCTTGATGCTTTCTACATGGGTTAGATTGGAACTCACATTATGCCATTGTGCTGGCAATGGATGAGAATTATAGCTCGCAGTGTCTGTCTTAAAGTGGGTGCATTTCATAAAAGGAAATATCCTCAAACAGCGTGTTTAATGCTGCCCGGGCCATTGTTTGCCTCTCTCTTTGCTCTTCCATCTTACCAAAACTAAGTTGTTGACCTCTTGAAAATCAGCAACAAGTTTTACTGCCATTTTTTTTAAATAAACCCAGTTATGTGATATTGCTATGTACTTGGTGTCATCTGACACACCATTACCCAGCACAGTTTCTGGTCTGCAAAAATTGCTTGTCCTGTCACATAGTGTACAGATGCATCAGATGGATTGTGATAATTGTGTGTTTCAGCTACCCTTTTTTGATCACCAGACTGCCACTACTTTAGTTATCACTATCTGGAATAACTCTGCTGTAAGTAATTTATTGCTAAATAAAATTCTGTAAAAGATGTGGGAGGAAAGGCCTTTCAGAAATAAATCCTGTCAGAACTTCTTTTTGCTCTGCATTTATTTAAAATATTTACTGCCTGGCACAAAGCCTGATAAGGCAAATATTTATCTGCTAAACTGTTAGCCAAAGAAATATTAAAACTGGGCTTGAAGGGACATTGGGGAGAGTCAGAATCCAAAGGAGTGGAGCTTCGGTATTGTGCTCTTTTCTCTCTTGTGGTCTGCTGGTCCCTCAAATAGACCTGAAGGCTTAGCCCTCATCTAAAATGAGAGGTGGACATGTGGTGAGGCATTCCCATTAACTTAGCCCATCAATGTTGCAAGAAACAGCAATTTACTCAAAAATTACCTTACTGAACATTGGAAAAGCTGCCTTTAATTTTTGTCAAGCCAAACATCATTTAAACAAAAGGAAATAAGGGAGATATATTTGCCCTCCTGCATGGAAAATAGAACTCAAAGATAACCTCACCAGTTAAAACAACAAAATTAAATACCTGAAACTTGTAGCATCCTCAGAAGATATTGGGTATGTTTTAAAGGGGGGAAAGGCTGGAGTTTGTAGAGCACCACCTAGAGCGTTGGAGGGGAAGGACACCCAAATAACTTCTTTGCATTATAGTTCCAGGACTTGCTGTCTTTCCAATGTTTTGAACAGCATTTTCCGTCACCCCTAAGTCCTATAGAACATGTTCTTTTAATTCACTACTATATTTCAATAGTTTAGACAGTGCCAGTGGTGAAACCTTGCTCACTTTTCTGCTATTTCTTCTTTTAGAAAGCCAGTTTGGTGTAGTGGTTAAAGCATCAGGTTAGAAACCATGAATTGTAGTCCTATCTTAGACACAGAGCCAGCTGGGTGACCTTGGGCCAGTCACTCTCCCTAAGCCTTAGGAAGGAGGTGAGGGAAAACTACTCAAAAAAAACATACCAAGAAAACTGCATGGACTCATCCAAACATTTTGAATGGGGGTGGGAGTTTTTTGCTAATTGAAATCTTCCTAAATTCAAATTTAAATTTGGAAAATTGGAAGCTCTGGCCATGAGCATCCTAGTTGTGGAACTAAGCTATTCACAATGAGCATTCAAATCAACGGATGGTACTACTTGAAGATCTCTCAGTATGCATCTTCACCCGAGTGGACAGAATTGTACCCAAACTATGTGTCAGGATTGGCATTGCTTCAGTTTCAAGCAATTATTTAATTTTCTATTTTGCTCCCAGGCTGACTCGAGACATCAGCTGGGGGCAAAATGGTGCTGTCCCTGCTCCTCTCACTCTTCCATGTAGAGAGGTGTACTGGCTTTCCCTCAAACAGGATATATGAGATTATCCTCTATTGTCCCTGAACTAGATAGACATGGTTGTGTGATGTGCCTACAAATCTGTCCACAGAGAAATGTTGCATGTCAAAAAGGGGCAGAGTTTCAGTTGCACATTCATGTCCACCATCTGGGATTTTTTTTTACATGCCTGTCCGCAAGAGAGTGCCTCATGGCAGGGGAGGTGTTGTTTATCTATGTAATAGATACATTTTTAATTGGTCTCACCACAATTTTACTTAAAAAAAGTAAAAATTCAACTACCCAAACAGACGTGAAATTCATTGGGTACACAGTTAAGCTATGTTCTTTTGGTGCCTTTCTAAAACACAAGCAATCTTGGGAGGATGGTTCCCCTGATGCCAATGTAAGACTTTGAATTCTCTTCCAAATTATCAAGAGTAAACATGGTTATATTTAGGAGGCTTAGAGGAAAAGCAGATGATTAAACCGTTTTGTTTTTAAATGCATAAGGTTCAAAGTGAAATATGCAAAGTAAAAGGAAAGGTCCTGTTTAAAAGTCAAAACAGGCAGGTTTCAATGGACGATAAGCTTTATTTCAGCCCTGCTTCTAATCCCTTATAGATATTTGACTGTCAGTGCCTCCCCAATTACTATTGGGATCAGTGTCATCAGGTCACCAGGGTGATTCTCCTCTGCAATTTTTAAACATTTGTATTTTACTTATAGATAATGGATCACTATTTCTTTCTAAAGTCAAATTTCAAAGAAAAACATACAAACTTCTCTGTTTTGGAATCACCATATCTAAGACATATTAGCTGTCAATGATTTCTTTAGTTTAAGATTTCAAAAACTTATTTTCAGGGTTAAAAAAATCTTTAGAATCTTATGCAAATCTTTAAATTTCAAAGGTTTACTATTTCTGTTGTGCAGTTATGGTATGCTTTACTCCAAGTTATTTATTGGTTGCCTGAAGCCAGTATTTACAGATTCCCTGTCACTAAAATTAAAGCAATCAGCACATGGGGGAAAAAACTCTCATAAATTTCTCATTTCAGAGCTGAGTCCATTAGAGACCATAACTGATTAAACTCTGCAGCTAGAAAATGATGCTGACAGTCGATTTTCCTTTAGCCCATAACTTCTTAAACAAAATGTCCTTATCTGTCCTGCTAGAATTGCCTTTCTTTCCTCATGAAAGCTTCATGCTTTCAACCATGATAAAAAGGCAAGAGATTCAGAAAGTGAAGCTTT